GAAAGTCAGGCAGGAATTTGGCTCTGTGTCAGGTAAACCTCAAAGGCAGTCGGATCGACCCGATGCTTCGTCAGGATGAGAGCTTGGTTCTCTTCCAGCCTGCTAGGCTTTGTTATTATTATTATTATTACCGTCGTTGTTAGCGTTTGGATTATTATTTCTTCATTCTAAATTGATGTTACAGCACTGCATGTGTGTTAGAAACATCCTTGCCGTGGTCGGAATATGAAGACCCACGTACAGCAGTCAGCACTCCGATAGGGAAAGGTGCCCTGCCAGGCGTCACAGAGCCAGAGGCAACAAAAAGGCCAACGATCGCCTCTCATTAGTGGCCTCCCGCTGTGGGGCTGCTCGGGTAGATGCAGAACCCATCCCTCCTCCAAAAACACCGAAGAAAGGGGTTTTGCTCTGATCTTCCCCTCTGGGCGCCCCATCCATCAGCAGAAGAAGGGAAACGCATTAAGCAGCAAACGGGAGCCTTTGGAAAAGGAATTGATGACCTATCGAATGCCACCACTGCAGCACAAGGGCCACCTCTGCACCTGCACCCACCGCAGCTGCCTGGTTTATCACCCCCCATCCCCTGCTCAGGCCATCCGAGCCTGGCTCTTTTCTCCAACCATCCATTCTGTTCACTCTCTGTGTCAGCTTTGTGCCCAGGATGGGTGGCTGGAGGATCGTTCTGCACAGCACCATTGGTCCCATGTTCGAGCTCCTGCTGCGTGTAGCCAGATATGCTGCAGACAGGGATGGATCATGGAAAGCACAAATCCCACCCCAGCCAGCCAGACTGAGCAAAGAAAAATGCATTGCTCTGAGCAGCTTTATGTATAGAAGTTTAAGAAGTGAAGAACATCCAGAAGAGAAATAAAAGTAGGGGCAAGGGCTGAGCTACCAGCAATGGGCCGCCCATAGGGCTGCAGAAATGCTGAGCTGTTTCTAACAAAAATAAGCAAACTCCCCTCCAAAAAAGCTGGAAGCCTTTGTATCTCATGGTTGTGACTCAACGTCCACTGCATGTGGGCACAATGGGAGGCTGTGTCTGCTGGTGGCCAGGCAGGGATGTCACTGGGGTTGGGGAGCTGATGGGGGCACAACGGTGACAATGACAGATGGACCCCAGTGCCCAGTGGAGGAGCTCCACCCCAGCTTTCTCAGTGGATGCCCATCCCTGCAGGCATTCAAGGCCAGGCTGGATGTGGCTCTGGGCAGCCTGGTCTGGTGGTTGGAGACCCTGCACACAGCAGGGGGGTTGAAATGAGATTTTCATTGTGGTCCTTTTCGGGTCATTCTGTGATTCTGTGATTCTAGGAAGCAGTGTGACAGCATTCACACACAACTCCATGCTGGGTCCCCATTTGGGAAGGGTTGGCTGATGAGCAAAGGGAGCGCTGACCCCAGGGATGGTCTCCCTGTGAGCAGGAGCAGAGCAGCACACTGCTGTGCACGCTATGGGTCTGACACGAGACACAGGAGCTCTGCAGGCAGATCTCTGCTCTGCAGCCAGACATAAGAGAGTTTGCTTTCAAGAAGTTTCCTGTCTGTGCAGACAAAGCCTGCTTGAGGACAACAGCGGCGACGTTCGTTGGCAACAACACCAGCACAGCAATCAGCAGCAGCACCACTCAGTGCTGGATCAGCCCTCCTTTCAGCAAGCACAACTTGGGGAACTGGGAGTTCAGATGGGGACACGGCAGCAGTCGGCTGCACGATTTGCTGAGTGCCATTCAGAGCTGGAAAACCGCAAAGGCTCGGCTGACAACGGCTCTGCAAGGCAGATCAAATTATCTGTGTATCTCAGAAAGGAAGCCGGGTCGTAACCCACTTATTCCTAAAACATTTCCCTTTGCAGCACCATCCACAACAGCCACAGCAACGTCCAGGCCAGCTTCAGCAAATGTGCTTTGTCATCAGCAGGTCTTCTGTGCCAAAGCCTAAGCGTGCCTGCTACTGAATTGGCATCTTAATTGCTTGTCAGTGTCAGACTGACAGCAGCAGCCCTCCCGATGTGAGATGAGGTGAGATGCATTGAATTCCTGCCCCTGAACAATGATCGCTGATTGCAATTTGCTTTCAGGCACTTTGGGACGCCCTGCCCAGTGCTGCTCAGGGAGGAACGAGCAGCCAGGGTTGTGTGCTGTCACCTGGTGCATGTCTGCTGCTCGTGGAGCTGTGCAGTGCATGGATTGGAGCATCCCTGCTCATTCAAGCAGCAGCAGCAGCCTGCTGGGTGTTGTAGCTGTGTGCAGTGCTGTCAGAACGCAGCACAAACCCACTTGGGACACTTCTGCTAGGCTGCCCTGCAGAACTGAGGGCTCATCCTGCTGTACCTGCTCCTCACAATCCAAAGCCCCTGGTTGGGTCACGGGGATCCACGCTGGGGTTTTGCTCTGTTCCTCCAGCCACAATGGGGTCTGTCTGTGCCAGAGGTGGAATAAGCAGCATCACCCACAGGAAAGATGCAGTGTGCATCTGGGGAAAGAAAATTTGCAGCTATCCAGGCCAGAATGATCCATGGCACAGCTCAGCAGTGTGAGTAGAATTCAACCACACACACCACGTGCAGCAGCAATAAGATCTGCTCAGAGGAGCAGAATTCAGCCCTGCCACAGCAGCTGTGAGGCGCTGGGACCCAGAGGCAACGCCTGCACACGGGAGCACCGGGGGAGACGCATAACGTCCTTTTCACATCGAGTTATTTGCAAGATCCTTTGGCTTTTTTTTTTTCCACGTGGAGTTGCTTGCAAACTCCCTTGGATCTGCTGGATGCCTTTAGCAGAGCCCTGGCAGCCCATTGGAGCCCCTTCCAGCAGCAGGGCAGGGTCACACAGCAGCAGGTGCTGCTGGCTCAGCCCATGGATGCCATCTGCCGTTCGTGAAGCACCCAGAGGGGGAGGCGAACAGCCCAGCGCTGCTCAACCCGAACACCCACAGCAATGCCTTAAACACAAACCAACCCCACGCATGGAGAGTGCACCTGAATCACCTCCCTGCTCCCCAACCCTGGCCCACCGTCACCTCCGAGGCAGGCACAGCCCTCTTGTTTTATCACCTCCTGCAGCCTCCTGTTTCCCGCAGCAGCAGGAGCAAAGCAGAGCTGCAGGATGCAAGGTGCAGCTGTGGAAACCATCCGAGGAGAGATGGAATCCTCCCACTCGTGTGTCTGGCAGTGTGTCGGAAGCAGAGAGTGCCAGCACTGAGCTGCTGAGGGGTGGAGAAACCTACAGGATTTCCCCTGCTCCTGTAAGGGAATCTCAGCCCACGGAATGGATGTGGGATTTCCCATAGCTGAGAGCAGCCAAGGAGGGGACAGTGCTCTCGGAGGAGGCTGCAGATGCTGTGCTTTGCATGCTGAGAGCTGTGATGCTGCACTGGGGCAGAGCTTGGCATATGGATAACTCACCCTATCTCTCACCACTAAGTAACCACAGATGTGTCCCTTCCCACTCCTCGGTTACCTCTCTGAGTTAACAAAGCCATTTATGACCCAATGATAAACAGCAAAGAATGTTTTTTAACGGGGAAATCACAGCTCCATCAGACACAGAGGTCTCCAAGCAAACGTCAGCCGGGAGCACAGCACAGTGGAGGCGATTGGAAGGGTCTGAAGGCTCTGCAGCTCCTTCCTCAACACAGCCATGGGGAAAGCACTCCCACGGTGAGCGCTGAGCCCCACAGGGCGACTGCTGCTGGCTGCAGACAGTGGGATTGGCTCCGTTAATGAGAGCTGGGTTTCGCTACAAAGCGGCTGACCCAGACCTGCTCCTTGCTGCGCTGCTGCTTCAGGAGCTCCTCTTTCTCTCCCTCTCTACATGCTCGGCACATCTCCAGCTTTGATTACTGACTGTCTCCATCCTTCCCCCCTCCCCCCCCACCCCGCCTCGTCCCCGCTCACTGACATCTCTTCATTAAGTCCTACGACGGGTTTATTCCCATGGCGCTGCTTTGTCTGCCTCGCTCTGCAGCGTTTCTGGAAGGAGAAAGCCAAGGAGCAGCCCCCAGCTGTGCTGCAGGCAGACAAAGGCAGCGGGTCCCTCCTCCCCTTGCTCCAGCTGAACAAAGGCAGCGCGGAGCCCAGGGCCGGATCCCGCTGCAATAACCTGGGGATGGGAAAAAGGGGAGCAAACGGGGCCGTGCAGTGTGTGGGAAAGGTTCCTTAAGGACAAAGGAAAACGCTTCGTTAACGGTTGGAGGCTCTCAGCTGTGCAGAGGCGGCTGAAACAGAGCTCTGCTGTGCCATGAGATGAGGGGTTTGTGCTGGAAAGGGAGTTTGCTCCCTCCCATCCTCTGCTTCTCAAAGGGATGCGCTACCCTGGGGTCAGCACGCTGTGTGCATGCAGAGTGAGCGCTCCCAGCCCCAAATCGCCCCAGACAGAGCAACGTTTTAGATGCAAAGCTCCCTCCTGCTGTTTGCACAACCTCCCGAAACGCAGCGCCTAAACAAACAGAGCACAGATGGGAACACGACAGGGGATGGGGCAGGAGCTGTTTGCTCCTCTTGCGCCTCGCCAGAGACAAGCAGGCGGGATGTAAATCATTAGCAAGCGGGTTGTTCACCGCCGAGTCGCTGCTTTTTCCCCTTTCATCTCCACTTTGAGATCACAAAGAGGAGATTTTCGGATCTGTCAGAGCTGCGCTTCGGGAGCTCCTCTCGCTCCTCTGCCGTCCAGCAAAGCCCGCAGTCGGGTCCGCTCCAACCAGGGCCGGAGGTACCAGCGGACCCCGGCCCGGTGGGAGAGAATGGAACCACGAGGGTGGGGGGGTCGGGGCTCACGGGGCCCCAGCGAGCGCTGCGATGGCGGCTTTGGCCGCACGGTGTCCCCCGCGCTCCGCCGTCCCCGAAACGGGGCTGGGATGGGCTGCAAGGAAGAAGGGTCGCATCCCTGATGGGACACTGTGCTGAGCTTCGGCACAGCGGCCTGAGCTGCCCCCCTTTTTGCCCCTTTTTTCAGCCTCGGTCCTGCCTGTTCCTACAGTCATAGCCCATAGCACAGACCGGGTTTTCTGGGTGCAGCTTTTAATGATGCTACAAAGCTTGGAGTGTCAGCTGGTAGCTCGAACCCTCCCATATGAAGGAATGAAACCAAACAGAAGCCATGGCTGTTGCTCCCTGGCCTCCCTATAGATCAAAGCTATGGGAAAACCTTTGCCCAGTACTCTGGAGGCAGGGCTCCTTTTTGTTCTTTTCTCCCAGGACTGAACAGAAGATCCCAAATAATTGTAGGAACTAAAATCTAAGCGGAGGCCATCTCTGCGTGAAACCCTGCAAAGGCATTTTTGTGCTACACCTGTGCCAAAAGTAACACCCAGCCTCTCACCAAAGCAGTCCTTTGGGCATTCATCCTCCCCTCCCAGGAGCACGGGCAGCTCCTTGCTCCAGCTCCTGGCAAAGTGACAGTCACAGCTATGGGCCTGCAGGAAAAGCCTTGCTACAAAGGCAAAAGAACAATCTCCTGCACCTGGATACAGATTTGGAGTTCCCCTTCCTGCACACCAAGGAGAAAACACAGACCTCCGAGCACCCAAAGAGGGCATCGCTTCTGCTCTCCCCACTCCGACTCTCACCTGGCTGATCCCTCCAAACCTGTGCTGGGTTTGGGTGGCAGCAGGGAGATGCTCACCCTCATCTCACTCTGCAGAGCCCTTCCTGCTGGCAGGACACACAGCGCAAACACTGCAAACAGTCCCTTCCTCTGGGTTTCCCCCCCCCAGCAGCTCTGTAGGAGACCAGAGGGAACCACAGGGCCCCTGCTAGGAATCAGAAAGGCAGAGGGCTTCCACCGCGCTGCTCAACCCCTGGCTCACCCCACCGACTGCTAGCAGCAGGCAGCCCCTGAGCACGATGCTGGAGCAGGCACAGCGTGGGGTGGGCATGGGGGGCAAGCTCTCCCATTTGTTCTTCTCAGGGTGGAAAGCTTCTGCAGACTCCAGGACGGTCGGCTGGTTTCCTGGAGACACAAAGTGAGGCGGCAGGTCACCAGCAAGCACCTCTTTAGCCTGTCTGCACCCCAAAGCCCATCCCCCCTTATGGGTTCTTTTCACTGTTCCCTCAGGCCAGGTCTCCCCGTTCTGTAATGACTCTTCTTTGCTTTTAAAGTGTCACCTCCATCCCCAGGGCCTCACCCAGTCCCCCAGCCACGACGACTCTGCTTTTCAGGTAGCCAGCCACAAAGTCTGCTCGCCGTTTCTTCAGGTAGAAGGAGCGCTCCATCTTCATCCAACCACCTGCCAGGGGCAGCACAGACAGCAGCACTCAGCACCACAGAATCATTCAGATCAGAAAAGACCTCTAAGATCATCAAGTTCAACAGCCCACCCCCACCGTGCCCACTGAATACATCCCTCAGTGCCACATCTCCATGGTTCCTAAACACTCCCAGGGATGAAGACCCCACCACCCATCTGCCTCTCTGGCCTCCTGCCCCTGGGAACCACACATCCTTGGGGCAATAAAACCCACAGTGCAGGGGAGGACTGCTTCCTTACCACCTTGTCAAACCCAGCAGCTGCAGAACCCCTCTGGACCACATGTTTCCCCCTCCTGCCTCCTCTTATTAACCCCCAGTACCCACAAAAACCAGCAGGTGAGAGCTGAAACCCCCACCCACTCACCCCAGTAGCACATGGGCACATCCCTACATGCACCCACCCTCACCCACGGACCAGGACAGAGCTGTGACATCCTACCTTGCTCAAAGTCAAACACATCCACAGTCCTCATGAACTTGGGCTGCCTGTACAGCCGGCCCTGCCGCAGGCCCCCAAGGCTGAACAGTTTGTCTTCGGTGGGCACGAAGCTGGAGAAAGCTCTTTTATTGGGGATATTGGGGAACTTGGTCCACGATCTGGTCTCTGTGTCAAAGACCTCGAAGGCGTTGATGGCGTACTTGGACTGCCTTCCCCCTGGGTGAAGGGATGGGAAGAAAAGGATCAACAGCAGCCAAAGGTCAAATAGCAGCAGCAGAGGATGCTCCTGGGCTTGGATGAGAGCAAACTGCCACCGGTGGCATCCTGTGCTCCCTCTTTTGTAATTGCAGCTGCACGAGATCGAAGCACCCCATTTCTCAGTGCGTCACATCTTCCTCTTCCCTCCAAGCCAGCAGTAGATGCAGGAAGGTGTTTGGTATGCATTGGTTTAATCAAGACAAACGCACGACAGAGAAGGGATCAGCACTGGGGGATGTTTGCAATTCAGATGAGCTCAGCGTGGGCACAAAGCAGTGATCCCAACAGAACAGCAGAGTCAGAGCAGCTGCTGCCACAACCCACAGACATGCCTTATTGTCCCCCCATCAGATGCAAGGGGACGCAGCTGCTCTCAGCCTGGGTGCTCCGTGTGCCTTTGAAGCAGAGCCTTGGCTTGCTACCGGGCCCACAAAGCATTTGCTGGCAGCAAACAAACTACAGAATAGATCAAAAGAGCCTTTTCTGGTGGCACCCTCCAGACAGGCAGCGCTGCACGGTGGTTGGAGCTGCTGGAACTGCTGGGTTTGATCACAGCTTTGCTGCTGGTACAGCTCATCTGGCTGTGAGCCTCCAGCAGCATTTCCCTGCCTTAGTTTCCCTTTCTGTAGGATGAATGAAAACCCTTCCCTGTAAAAGGGTTGACCCAGCACTTCCCAGCAACAGCAAGTCTTTCCTTCTGGCCCTTCATGAAGGCGAGCAGCGCTTTGATGGCATAACACGGACAGAAGCACTGTTATTCAACAGCTGAGTGCAAGGGCTTTTGTTGGGGTCTCAGGGCTGCACATTGAGCAGCAAACAAACAAGGGGAACCATTCACCAGCAGCACTGAACTGCTGCAGGATCTGCATGGGCACAAGGGCTCCTGCAGTTACTGAGGAGGTGTGAATGCAAACCCTACGCCCAAGCCTGGGATGTGTGAGTGCACGAGAAGCAGATGAGGATGGAAAGCATTTCCCCAAGCAGACTCAGTGCCCAAGGAGGTGAAGGCAGGTGCTTACCCAGCACGTAGATCTTGGTGCCCCTCAGGAAGGAGGTGGCTGCATACCGTGCTGTGGGCATGGCTGCCAGGGACACCCAGATGTCCTTCAGCATGTCATAGTGCTGCAGGTAGTTGTGTGGTCGTAGGTCAGCTCCCATCCCACCAGCTGCATACACTCTGTAGTCTGGGCAGGGCCAAGGGGTGAGAAACCACAGTATTAAATATGGGAAAGCACACCTGAGGGATCTGGGGAGCTATTTCTGTTCCTGGTCTCTTGCGCTGAATTGATCTGCCATAACCAAGCACAGAGGGAAAACCAGCTCTGAGATGGTGAACAATCTTTGTAAACATTCCTCCATGGCAGCTTTTAGAGCTACATAAACAAATAAATGGAGCAGCTTTCAGAGGAGCTGCCTGTGGATCTGCACTGATCCCCAGTGTGTGTGCACTGCTCCCGGCCCCAGGTATGCAGTGCCAGCTCCCAGCTGTTCAAAGCGGGGCAGAACACGTGAAAGTAAATCAAAGCTCCACCTCTGTGCCTGGAGATTAGAAAATGAGATGGGCAGATGAAGGCAGAGCCCTGCAGGCGTTTAACAGAATGTGGGTATGGCTGTGGTTAAGCTCATGGAAGGGAGTGAGGCAGGAGCCCCCCATGAGCCAGCTGCTTCCCTTCCCTGCACACTGATCTGGGCCCACAGTTATGAAGCCAGCTCTTGTGTTGGGTGCTGGGTTTGGAACAGAGACTCTGCTCATATGAAGGCTGCTCTGCGGATTGGGGTCATGCACCTCTCCCCCTTCACTGTGCAGCCAGAGGCTCTGCCCATTTCTTCTTCATGCTGGGACCTGAACTGGCTGCAGATCTGGGGAAGCCCAGCTTCAACCCTGCAGGTTGGAGCTGCCAGAAACACGGCCAAGCCTCAGCCCTTGCAGCTCTTGGGCAGAGCGCACTGCTGCCTGCATCTGCTTTTGGCAGCCAAGAATGGTCCATTGGTGAAATATGACAACCACGTGAGGCTCGGCCTCCGTAAGCAAAGAAGAGGTTGAGGAGCAATCCAATCCTACAGCACTGCCCAGAAAGCATTTATACCCCACGCACGGGGGGGGACACCAACCCTCCCGCACCCTGCTTACCTTTTGCCGTCACCGAGATGCCCATGGCCGCCTCCCTCAGCGAATTCCTCTTCTTCCACTTGCCTTCATCCACGTTGTACATCTCCACGATCTTCAGAGGCGCTTGGTTGGCCCCCACACCCCCGATCACCATGATCCTTTTGCCCAACGTGGCCACCGCCACCCCGGCCCTAGCAGTGGGCATGGGGGGCAGCGACGTCCATTGGTCAGCCTCGGGGGAATAGACCTCAAAGCAATCCATGGGGACACCGTTGTCATCGCAGCCCCCGATGGCAAACACCTGCCCACCCACTTCCACCAGCGTGGAATAAACCCGGCGGCTCGGCAGCGGGGCGAGGGTCTTCCATTGGAAATCCCTGGTGTTGGCCACCTCCATGGTGTCAGCATCCACCTGCTGCTGATGGGGCACCTAGGCTGTAAAACACAGCGGGGAGGTGCAGGAGGAATGCAGAGTGCAGCAGTCAGAGCAGAACAGGCCCTAAATCCATCACAGCCACCTGCCCACCCCCCCGATGCCAGCAGTACCTCTGCCTGCAGCTCTGCTCATCCTGCAGATCCACGTCTGCCTCAGCAGCTCATGCAGAGCTGAGCCTAAAAATAAAACGAAACAAAAGGGGGAAAAAAAGCAATAAAAATAAAACAAACCCAGGCAGGAGAGCTTGGAGTCACTTTGCTTCCTGAGCATCCCCACCCCCAAGCGACATTCAGAGCAAGGAGGGCTGCAAGCTGTCTGCTCTCTGCCCTGCAGCATCTCTGCCTGCTGGGGAACTTTTCCTTGCTCTGAGCTTTCCTTCCTCTGAGCCCATTTCTCCTCCTGACCCTTGTGACGCTGGGACACAGTGATGAGCCATGCCAGGCTCCAGCCAGCAGCCCTGAGGACAGGCTCCAGCTCTGGCTGCAAACCCTCCTTCCTTCCTCTCCCCTCCCAGACCAGCCATTAAGCAATGCAGACGAGATTAATTAGTACAGGAAGACAGAAAGAGGGCAAACAGGAGGAGGGAAGGCAGCTGCTCATCCACCATGCAGGGTGGTGCTTTTTGCACTGAGCATCTCCACCTGCGTGCCCCAGATTGGGGTAACAACATCCATTAGAACAAAGCCAGGTTTGTCTCTGCCCTTGCAGGCTGCTGCCTCGCGCACATGAGCTGGGATGGGGCTGTTCCCACTTGTCCCCATTTGCAGCCCCCAAGACTTTCTCAGTTATCCCACCACCCCACTGCCTGCTCTGTGGGGACCGACTGAAGGTGACTTCCACGCTCCTTCAGCTCCTGCTTTTCATCTGAAAGCGTGACTCAAAGGACAGCGATGAAAAGCATCAGCAAAGCGCACGTGGACAGAGATCCATCAAAATCACATCACTTTCAAGCACAAAACCCAACGGATTTAACAGGGTCGAAGGAGCACAAAGCAGCAGCGCTGCATCCCATCCAGCAGCCAAAGGGAAAGGGGCAAAAAAACAGATGAGGTCGGCAGCTGCCATCCTCCCCCTGGTCTGCAGCACCTCATGCTCTGATGTGCATCAGCAGAGCAGCACGGGGGAGGGGGAAGGGGGGAGGTTTAAGCAGCTCTGGGCTACAGCTTTGGTGCATAATTAATTTTCTCTCCAGGTAAACTGTCGTGCATTGCCACGGATAAATCCAGCCGAGTGCATTAGAAAAGCAGAGCCTGCTCCTATCTGCGGGCACACGATGGGTTTGCAGGCTGACCTCTAAGTCTGTGCCGTGATAAAGCACAGCCCTGGCATGAAGCACAACGTCACCGCTGTGCCAGACAGCTTCTGTGCTGCCATTCATTACACAGAGCTGCACCTCGAGGATGATGCTCTATTTTTTAGCAAAGCGTTGCCTCAAAAATCTCTTTTTTCAGCACACAAACACGTGAGCGTTGCTCAAAGCAGTGGGGGTGCATGGGGGAATTGCTGAGCAAAGAACAGCAGAGTGAGAGCTGCAAACTCAGCCCAGCTGTGGCTCAGCAGAGCTCTGCCTCAATTCGGCTGCCTTGGCAGAGGGAGAGTTCAAGAATTCGCTGTTTTTCCCTTTCATGCTCTTAAAAGCAGATCGAGGTCAGTCTGAAGCTCTCCATTATGCATGTAGGCTTTGTCTGGGGCTCTCCAGCATCACCTGGAAAGCATCGCTGTGCTGTAGGAGCTGCCAGACGTGCTGACCCAATGCCCCACTGCACTGCAGCCACGTTCTGCTCCAGGCAGAGGGAATTATCACTTAATTAGACCAAACCCATCAGAAGCATTAACATTTTTTTCCCCTAAATGGCTGCGTTAGGATCACAATGAATGGTAATTGCTTTCCTATCGGAGGAGATGGCAAGCAGTGAGCTGAGCCCACACCAGTTCTGGTGACATTTATTGCCTACAACAATTTGTGATTTATAGGAGAGGCTGTGCTGAATGCACTGAGGCTCTGAGCTGCCCAAATAGGGCAGGCTTTGTCCCCAAATCCAGTGCTGCCATCTGGGGCTGCCTGTGCTCCCTTTCCCACATCCCCTCCCTGGGATTTAGATGCTTTTATGCTCCAGGTTTGATATTCCTCAGTGGAATGGAGCACAGAGTGTGAGCCCATCCTGCACAACGCTGGATAACTCTGCTCTGAAGCCCCGGAAGCATCGCATTGCTGCAGCTCATCCCCCCCTTTTGGAGACCCCACAAAGATGCAGGTGACCACACACATCCTCTTAGCAGCTCTCACAGCAGCATCAGGGCTGCACCCTCATCTCCACCACCCCAAAATGGGTCACCATCACAAACGGTGATGGGTCAGACCCAGGGCTCCTGCATCCCCGCTTCCACCCATGCGCTCCTTGCTGTCAGTGGGGTTAAAACAAAGCTGCCACAGAGAAACCTTGCTCCCTACCGAGAAAAAGAGCTTGTACTCACCTCCGTGCCATGCAAGATTCACCCTCAGCTGTCCTACAGCTTGGGAAAAGTGGCTGCAAACAGAGCAGAGCACAGCGTGCTGCCAAGCAGGGTTTGTTCCCAGCACAAGGGGATGGGCATCACAGGAATGGGGGCAAAAGGAGCTGGAAATAGCACAAACCCTGGGAAGGAATCACAGCTCCACGCAGGAGTCAGCAGCTCCAGCTCGGATCTGTCGGCACTGTGAAAGAAGGAGCAGGGAGAGATGACACAGCACAGCAGTGAGGATGGGGCTCAGCGTGGGGAAACCGCGGCGTCCCAGGGAACGGCTCTGCTGTGAGGATATGGAGGAGATCCCACAGAGCACCTGCAAGGATGGGGGCTTTTGTCCAGATGGGGGAAAAAGAGGCAAAAAAAAAATAAGAGAAATAGGAGGGGAAAGGGGAATCGTTTCCTTGGGGCTGTATTTCCTTGGATCCCAAAGAAAGAGGGTGGGTGAAAAGTTTCTGGTGCAGAGCAGCACCCCCCCCCCCCCCCCAGTGTAATTGAGGGGAGCTGCTTTTCCTCCTGGCAGCGCATGCAGATCACAGATAAACATCAGCAGAGTGAGGAGAGGCCCTATGGGGTCAGGCGTTAGCAAATGACTGCAAAATTTCACACGAGCCCCTCAGGAAACCCCACGACCCCCCTGCTGCTGCCTTTGCTTCTCCCCACTCGGGTTCCAGCAGCTGGGATTTCAAACTGAACGTGCACGAAATGCTCAGTCTGCTATTTCTGACCTCTCCTCACACCGAATTGAGTTTCCTTTCCATAGTAACGGCCACCAGGAAAAATAACAGCAACCAGAGCCAGCAGCTCCTTGCTTTCCACTGCAAATAACCCCACTGGCTTTCAAGGAGATTTCTAGCTGCGATGCTTTTGCAAAGGGAACAAATGGCACCTTGGAGCAAAGAAAAAGCAGCAGCGCTCACATGGAGCTCATTTGGAGCCTCTCCCTGCAGACAGACAGACGGACAGAGGACAGTGCCACTCAAATTGAGCTCCCTGGCTTCCCAACAGAAAAGACCCCTGAGGTCCTTTGCAGCCACGCGCGCCGTTTGCTGGTGGGGGGGAGGCAGAGAGCTCACACTCGGCTCACAGCCCTGCGATGGGGATGGATGCCAGCAGCTTCAACACGCGACGGGACAGGGAGACACAGCAATTTTTGGTCCCTGGTTAGCGTGGGGAAAGAGAGCAGAGCATCTTTTATTTCCTGGGTGAACAGAGCAAGGTAAGGTTTATTCCCGTTGCATTTTGTCTTCAGAGAGTTGCAATTGCAGCAGGAAAATACTATCACCCCAGCACGGCCCTGCTGTGTCCTGCATCCCTCCCCCTTTCCCCCTGATGCTGATGCTGCTCTCTTTGCATGGGTCAAATCCTCTTCAAGCCCCACGGACCCTCTGCTTACGTTGCTAAATCTCTGTTGGCCTGTATTCAGACTGCATCCCTTCAGAGGGAACAGGGAGAGAGACCTGTGGGGCACCCAGTGCTGCTCCCAAGGCCTGGATGGGGGGGGGGGGGAAGGAGCAGAAAAGAATCCTTCTGGGGACAAATGGAACAACAAAACATAGGAAAAAATGAGGGGGGAAACCAACCAACCAACCAACCAACCTCCTCGTGCCACTTTTTAAAGGAGAAAACGCAACCCCAGAGCTTCGTTCTGGCTGCACAACAGCAGCACGGCGCTGCAACCCCCAGCAAACCCCCCCCTCCCCCCGTCTCCTCCCCTAACCTGAACGCTGTGCTTACAGCTGGGCCGGCTCCTCGCACGATGCTCTCCTACAAACGCTCTTCAACTTCAGCCCAGCGAAACCCCGGCATCTCCAGCTTGAGAGCATCCGTCCCTCGGCTGGGGGTCGGGGGGGGCTGCGAGAAAACGAGTAGGAATCCTTGGGCTTTAATCGCCCGCTTGCAGGAGGCGTGGGATGAACGGAACCGGAGCTCTCCCATCTGCTGCGGCCGTCGGGATCCTCCTCGGTGCTGCCGCCGGGGCTGTACGTGCGGGTGTGTACAGGGCGGATTAACAGAGCCATGCTTTAAGCCTTTTATGGCTCCTAAAGCTCGCACAGGATGTTCTGTCACAGCGGCCCTCCCCTTCCACGGCTGCAAAAGGAAAAGTGATCGAGGAGGGAGAGATGGAGCGGGGATGGATGCTGAGCTGGGGACGGCTGATCTGTGGGCATCGATCAGCTCCGTGGGCAGAGAAAACGAGAAGGATGGAGGGGCAGCGGTGGGATGGAGGGGCTGCACTGGGATGTAGGGGCTGCACTGAGGTGTAGGGACAGCATTGGGATGTAGGGCAGCAGTAGGATGTGGGGCTGCAGTGGGATGTAGGGGCAGCAGTGGGATGTAGGGGCTGCACTGGGATGTAGGGCAGCACTGGGATGTAGGGCAGCAGTGAGATGTGGGGCTGCAGTGGGATGTAGGGCAGCACTGGGATGTAGGGGCAGCAGTGGGATGTGGGGCAGCAGTGGGATGTGGGGCTGCAGTGGGATGTGGGGCTGCACTGGGATGTAGGGACAGCAGTGGGATGTGGGGCTGCAGTGGGATGTAGGGCAGCACTGGGATGTAGGGCAGCACTGGGATGTAGGGAACTTTGGGCCCCAAACTTCTCAGAGCCAACGTTCCCCATTCTGATGGTCCATGAAAGGCTTTTGCAGGCCTAATTTTCTTCTCTATTCTTCTCCAGAAGCTGATGCAGAATAATAACTCCGACTCCAGGAAAGAAAAACAAACAAAACAAACCCCAAACCACAAAACAAAACATTTCTGAGCCAAATCAGCAGGAGAAAGATCCTTCCAATGTACGTCCCATCAGTTTTGGACCCATGCCCTGTAGAGCTGGAAGAGCCTCAGCTCTCATCCTGGAGCAGCAGTGATCTGACATAGGGGGGTTTTACCATCCCTACAGGTGACCTCATGATGTTTGGAGCTCAGCTCTGCTTGGAAAACCCCCTAATTCTGACCCCAAGCTCAGCTGATGGCCATCCAGCCCAGGTTTGCCCCCACTGTTGTCTCATGCTGCTCCTGATAGGAAACTACATTAAAGCAGCTCCAGCTGTAAAACAAGAAAAATTAGGAAATCCACAAGAAGTTGACTCAAATGACTACATAAAAGCAAGCTCTCATCTCCTACCAGCTATTTTAATCTGCTGTTAGCTTTCCAGTGGGAGGATTCAATTTACATTTAAATAAAAATCTTAAGCACGGGGCCTATCTACCATTACAACATTCATTACAGAGGCATTTACCTCCCAAGAAATTTTAAGAGATCTCATGGAAGTGTGTTTTAATGAGTGGGGGGGGGGGGGGGACTATTAGCAGCCTGCTATTATTGGCTGCTTGTATTTGTGGGCTGCTGTTGTCAGTCAGCAGCTTGCTTGCAGGTCAGCCCAGCAGCTGAGGGAAGGGTTGCAGTGAGTTTGCAGACTGCGAGCTCACAACCAGAGGGAAGCAACAGTGCAAAAAGAAATCTCACACCACCAGAATGCAGCTGCAGGAAACTCGTTTTCACGGGGAAGGAAAGGAGAGGCTGCAAGCTGGAGGAAATGAATGGGATGGGCAAAGGGAAAAAGCATTGCTGCTGCTTTGGTTCAAAGCAAACTTGGAGTTTTTTGAGCCGTTCTCATGCAACCACCAGCGTTGGCACTGCTGCAGTTCTAAGCCAGGCTGCCCACTCAAGCCCTTACCAGCAGCTGTTGGGGTTTTCCCCCTCACTATCCTGCTCCTGCTCAATTCAGTTCATACAGGCATCTCCATAGAGAATGTTTTTATACTGAACCCTGCCCAGGGAAGTGGGTAGGAACTCTATGATCCTTAAGGCCCCTCCCAACCAAAGCCATTTTGTGATTCTTGAGCCCTCTCCGAAGTTCTACAAAGGTCAAACGTTGGGGAAACACAGAGCCCAAAGCTTTATGTCTGTTCCAATCAGTGCTGGATGGGCACTGGTGTTATCTGGGGTGTGCGAATGGGCACATGAGTGCAACCCTCCATCCTGCCTCCAAGAGGAAGCCTTCCCATAAGGAAAAGGCATTTCCACGTGAATGGTGGGCTGGGGGATAAAGAGAGCCTTGGCTCAGGGCACCAGCATCAGTCCCACTTTGATGATGCCAATAACACCAATGCAAACATCCTTTCATCTTCGTGTCACATCATCAAGCTGAAAACAAGGTGGACGCTTTCCCAGCGGGGACAACTGCACAGCTTTGTGTCCCTGTGGGTGGCGATGGCCCAGGGAAACTCCAGAGTTGTGCTGCAAAATGGGAGAGGTAACTTTTGCAACACGCTTGGGAAACAATAAAGGTGATGTCAGTGTTAAAGGAACAGCAGCAGTGCTGGGAACCTGGAGCAGCTCCTGCAAGCCAACAGCTGTTGCCATGGGAACGGCAGGAAGGTTGCTGGAATTCCTGTTGGTGGCACAAATAAACCAAAACGTGATGTTTTACTTTAACCTTCATCTCTGGGTCGAGTCAGCTGCACCCAGTGAATGCTCTCAGTGGGACCAGGCCATGTATGTATCTGAGTAAGTGGTGGTGAATGTGAGGAGATGGAAGACAGGGAGAAAGTCAGCGAGCACTCCTACAAACCCAACCAATGCTCCTGCTGAAGAAATCACAGCTGTGGGGATGAAGGCAATAAATCCATGCAATGGGAGCAGTGCTTGCCCACGCACACCTGGGTGTCAGCATCACCCTGGGGCTGCTGGACACTGCAGGGCTGGAGGCAGCAGTCAGTCTGCCCAGCGTTTCTTGCAGAGGTCTGGCATCCTGACAGTTCATTAACTAGTTAATTAATTAGCTCTCTCTCCCGCGGGGCCTTGAGCTGGTCGCAGCACAGAGTCACTGTAATGCAGGCAGACAGGAGCTGGGAGGTTCAGGATCTCTCCATCGCAACGCTTCACCCAAGGGGAGAAGTCCACCAGCTGCGTGTGCCCCTCTGACAAACACAAGGAGACACCATCTCAGAAACCAGGCACTCAGAACAGACAGCTGCTGCGAAAAGAGCCCGCAGTGAGGCTGGAGATCAGCTGCAGGGAGCAGGATGGGGAGGCAAAGTGATGCTTTTGCTGCATCCCTTCGCACTCAGAGCATGCGTTGCAATGGGAGATCCCACCTGCTGGCCCCAGCAGCCCGATGTGGTGATGCAGAGGAGTGTCTGAAGGGGTTTTGTAGCCTATGGGCAGAGCCTGAGCAAACACAGGGACTTTGGACTGTGGGTTTTGTTCTCTAGGCTTCAAAGGAAGCAGGGGTTAATCATTGACAGAGCATTCAGCAGGGCTGCAAGGAGCAGGGCTGAAAGGGGCACAGGGGGGGAAAAGCATTGGGATCATTCTGATTTGGTTCAGCAGAAACACAACACGTTGGTAAATTAATTCCTACAGACAAAAGGGTTCATTTAGATTGTAGAGAACATTCCTCACCTCTGGGGGGGCTAAACGTGTCCAATGTAAAGTATTTGGTGCTTTAATAAGGTTTCATACTGTCAGAAGCTCAGATGCTTTGGTTCAAAGGCTGCCACGTGGAAATACTTCCACCAGAGCATCTCCTTCCTTCTGTTTTGCTGATCCCCTAAGCTAAATTTATAGGCAAACACATGAATCTCTTATCATTGTGCTTTCATTGTTCTCACTGTATCTGGAAGTTTTATTCCAGGTTCCAACACTCAATGCTTTCATGATGCTCAGTTTGTGTCCACCTGCAGCCATTCACACCCAACCCAGCAAGCACATCTATGGCTGCTCCAGGTTCTCCAGCAGTGTTTGCACAGCCCAGCAAAGCCAGGAGGGATGGTGGTTGCTGCTCAGATAACCATGGCAGCAGAGCAAAGCCACCCCCAGGCAGAACAAGGCCAACAGTGAAGGAAGATCTTCTCACCTATCAGACCCCACCTCTCATCCTCTGCAGCTTCCACTCTTCCAGCCCAGCTCCTGCCCATCCTGGGGGAGTCTGCAAGAACACAGAGCTCTTCTACAGCAAACCTGATTACAATTGACCTCGGTGCTGCAGCACTTCAGCTGTTCCCCATTTAGCACCAATTCTGCTGTCATTCCTCTGCCCAAGCTGTTTCCTCCAAGCATGGATCCTTGCTGACAGCTCTCTGGAGGAGAAAGTTGCAGTGCATTAAGCCAGAGATGTGGAGGAGAGCTCGTGATGTGTCCCCAGGATGGGTCAGCAGCAGAGCTGGGGCAGCGGGTGGCCATGGGATGGGGCATCAGCAACCCCATAGGATTCACAGGGGCAAAAGCAGGCATTACAAGGCCTCAAACCCTACCAAATACATTTAAAAAAAAAAAACCTTATAGGGAAAAATTACTGTATTTAGAGGTGCCCAAAGCAACCCAGAACAATCACAAACAGTTCCAATGCAGTCCTCCCTCCATAGCTCCTTTAGGACACAGCATGCAAGAACAAAGAGGCACTGCAACCTTATTTCCTTACTTTGCACCTGATCCACTGCTGTTAGCCAAGAAAACAAGCTGAGTTATCACATTATAGCTACCCTCCAACCAGCTGAGTTACCATAGGTGTGACAGATACCCCCCAGCCATCAGCTTCAGTGTCTGGCAACCCAGGAAACTGGGAGGTGGGATGGGGCACAGCTCACCACCTCTGCACCACTCCATGTTTGTGTTGGTGATCTGCTCAATGAAATGAACAAGCACAATACATGCCAGGCTCGCTCCCCAGGGAAGGAGGATGAGTTCCTACTCAGTTCTGGCAGGATCCCACGCTGCCTCACTCCTTTCCAGGGAGCTGGAGGAGACTTGGCACAAACAGAACTCCTCTGTGGGTGGAGGAAGCTCTGTCTCCCCCCAGTTTGAATTAAGGAATGCACTGTTAATTGAAATCCAACTCTAATGAGACTTGCAGCTGGGCACAGACCTCATTTCAGGACTGGCCACAGTATCAGGGCTGCTACCACTGCCCGAGGCTGTGGCTGTCACTTCCAACAAACCCAGCAAGCAACAGATTGAGAGGTTATTTTCCAAGCACAGCTTAAGCTGCAGCACCTCACGTGGCCAGGATCTTGCTCTAATTCTTCC